AGCTGTCTCACAAACAAGAACTGCAGGAATATTTACTCTGAGCATGAAGATGCCTAGAGAAAGCTAATGGTAAATGCTTCGCCCAGGACAGCGATCGAAATTCTTGTGCCTCTTGGGAAGGCTGGCACACAGCTCACAGCTGCACCTCGTGTTTCCCTGTCAACTCAAGGTCAAGAGCCTGGAGTCCTCTTCTGAATGCAAAAGCCCAAGTAGTTGCCCAGAGCTCACAACCCCCAAGATACAACAGGCAGGTACTGGTTTAATGCTCAACCTTTATCCTTGTCCTTTAGTCAGCCCACAACCACGAAGCAGTGCTGGACTCTCCTTAGCTGGAGGAAATCCCAACCATCACCTCCCATGCCCAGCAAGGCTGGTACGGGTTAAGCTATTCTTTGTTCCTTTTGTTGTGACTGGGCCTTACAGAACAGAACATCCACGCACAAGGAGACTAGACAAGACGGTGTCCGACTTGATAGCTTGATAGCCCAGTAGCTTGGCTATTCAAATAAAGCTGGAACTCGAATTTTGGTCCATGTTTTCGGTATTATTACTGTTTTAAGATCTGTGATAGTCTCATATAAATCACCTAACCAGCAACACAAAGGACTCCCTCCTCCGAGATAAGCCCCCTATGTGCCATCATCAAGCGGAGCCTGACTGCAGAGAACACGCCTGGTTACTATTCAAAAAGGAAATTCTGGAGGCACAGGAGCGAGCTGTCCCTGTGTGCCGGAAGTCGAGCCGCCGGGGTAGAAAACCAGCTTGGATGACAAAGGAGATTTGGGAACATCTCAAAAGAAAAAGGGATGTCTATAAGTCTTGGAAGAATGGGCAGGCATCCAGGAATCAATACAGGGAGGAAGTTAGGACATGTGGGGAGATAATCAGGGGGGGCAAAAGCCCAATTGGAACTTAGACTAGCCTGCTCTGTAAGGGACAACAAAAAGTCTTTCTATAAATATATTAATAACAAAAGGAGGGCTAAAGATCACCTCCAGCCCCTACTGGACTCAGGGGGTACGTTAGTCACTAGGGATGAGGACTATCCCCCCCCCCCATCCTTACAGCTACTTGCCTTAGATCTGGACACAACCACAGCTGTCATTCCCTGTACTAATCTCAGGGGGTGGCTGCTGGGAAACTGCTCTTTCAAACAATAGGCATAATGACTGTGTGATGTGATTTAAGATTTGTGTCTACCTCCATGGCTTAGGCATGCTGTTCTTTCCAAAAACAGCTGGAGAACATAGACTACATCATGGTTGAAAATGATCCCACTGTCTACAGCTGATTTTTGTCACATGAAATGCAGGTGTCTAGCTGGGCTTCAGTGCCTGATTGTGCTTCAGGTGCCTAAGCTCTGGCGGATGGGTCCTAGCCTCTGAGTCCTGTTTCAAGATGTAATTTAAAGGCCTGTTTTTAGCTTGCCACTTAGATTATTTAAGTGGTTTTATTGTCTATTGACATTCAGTCTGAAAACAAGGCTAACTGATGTCTGACTAACAGTTGTTTCCAATTGTGGTCTCTATACTATATTAGCTATATTTAGCTAAATAGACCACATTGTTCAAAACCCAAAAATCTTTCCTACTGTTTCTTAAACAACTTAGGGTACTTGAAATGTCTCAATTTAAAAAAAGAAAGCCCCAGACAAAGGGACCTGCTAGTAGAGATGGGTGTTGCTGACGTTTCTCAGTTTTTGCTACCAGCAAGGATTCACTTTTTGGAACTTCACTCAAAGAAGCAAGACAAATATTTGATTTACACAGCTCATGATTTATATTTGGTGTCATGAGTGTCCTTTCCTTTCTCCATAGGCTTCTAAATCTCTTCAAAGAGAACTGCAACTGTAAGCAGATGCTATTCCCTGATCCTAGCAGAAAATCATTCTTCAGCAGTAGAGTCCTACAGGGAAGTTTGATAAAGCAGACTGTTAATATCAATTCTGCAGGTCACATCCTCTGTCTTATTTTTAGTCTTTTATAAAATCTCACTTCCAAGTCATAAGAATGTTTTAGACATTGAGCCAAGTTTTGGCTTACTTTCTGAAGTAGTCAAGTTCAGCTCATTAACTGTGAGAGAAAGAGGCCCCTTAGAATAGCAATTAAATCTCAACTGCCCTCTGAAATATCTCCACTCCACTAAGTAGAGAAGGAGGACCTGCAATCCTAAGGACAAGCCTACATTAGCATCCTGGTTCTAATCAGAAGTGTGTTTCTAAGACAAGTGTCTCTATCATGTCTACGTGCTGTGCTTCAGTTCATGACCTGTGTCAGAGCACATGAGCAGGATTTAGTTCTGATTATACTGAGCTGCAAGATGTTCTCCAGAAGTGAACATAATGTACACCAGTTGCTGATAGTTATTTGGCCCATGGGGCTGGAATAGAGTCAAACTGAAATACCTTCCTCCAAAAAACGTGTAGACCCTCTTGCACAGAATGTATTTCTTTACAGATCCACTTGTGTTGTGTCACACTATCTGCTAGTATAACCTAAAACTGTGAGGAAGACACTCAGGAGAGTGTTCCATGAGGGTACCAGAACCAGCACCTGGATATATGATTCAACACCTGAGGTTTAGTTATGCTTAGCAGTATGCTTGGCCTCTAGGTAGGGGTCCATGTCCCCTTTCCACTCTGTGAAGGCATCGAGCTGTGCAATGTCCAGCTGTTTCTTCTTTGGGAGCTCAAGGGGAAGGAACTTGTGTGCTGCTCATAGCTCTCCTGATGCACTTGACTAGGGCAGGGGATGGCTTGCCTCCATTGGAGCTCTAGAATGGGGACTGACTTCACAAATCTTTACCCTTTGTAGTGCTTTGCCTTACTGACAAAAAAATAATACTTACCTTACCTTCCTCTGTTTGCTTCTTTTTTAGTCAAAGGTCTTTTCTGGAAAACCTTTCCCAAATCCTTTATATCTGGGGACAAATTAACATAGTGTCTTCTCCCCCCTTGAGTCCATTAAATTTCCTTAAGATCTTTCCTAGAGGAATCAACACATGCTAGTAGAGCAGAGTACATCAGGTGAAAGCTTTAGTTAGGGTGTTATAACTCTAGGCGGGAAATGACTGGAAATACTTTGTACATTTAACTCAAAGAAGTAATAAACCTTATGATGAAGTCAATGAAGGTGGATTTTAAAGCTCTGGATTGAATTCCTTATATGCATTTGGGGAAAAATAAAAATTAAGTATAGACATATGTTAATTGATCTGTATGTGAATTCCAAACATTTTACAGAGAGATAGAATTCTTTGACAAGGCTACAGCTGAAACTGGGAATTTTTTTATCAACTGTAAATTGAGAAAAATAGTTTGGCAATTTGTTCTTTAAATGTTGGATTTACTTGAATAGGAATCTCTGGACACCAGGAGTCCCCTCACATTGCTTCTACTGTCTCCCTTGTGAAAGGGCAACATACATACTAGAAGACAGATTGATAGGAAAAAAACACAGGAAGGTGAAGACACTGCCCAAACATTTGTTTTGAAACACATTACAGTTTAGTCTATTTCATTTAAATCTCAGAAGCTACTTCTTCCACCATAAAATAAACACAAATAAATTTACTTTGGCTAATACCATCACAGATCTGGCTGGTTTACTAAATGGTTTTCGCTTAAATGTGTGAGATCAATCTTTGACTTGTGAGCAAGCTTTGAGTTTCTTAAAGACCAACTTGTTCAACTGCTTCATGGCTTTTCATGCTGATGATTTTAATACCTCAGGAGCAGATGCCAGGAGAAATGATGAGCCTGCTAGTTCAGTAACAGGTAAGGGCGTTTTGTCACAATGGTGACTTTTGTGGCCTTCAGTTTTCACCTAGCAAGCCACTCATTGCTGACCTCTGATGTGTTTAAAATTTCTGCAAAATGCCTTAAAAACATATTTCCCTATTTATTGAAATTTCATCTAAATGTTTTATACTTTCCAGCAAAAGATTAGTCTCTCTCTTTTTCATTAATAAATATGGAGGAGCCAA